CTGCTGCTGAACAGTGGCACAAAACTGGAAGTTGAGCCCTGGTAAAGTGACAGGTGCATGAACAGGTTGTTTTTTCCTGGAGCTGATTGTGAACAATTCTCTATTGGCAAGGGTTCTCTGTGTTTGGATCAGTGTGTGTTACCTGGATGCTGCCCATTGTTCACATCCAGGCTGCTGAACGGGCTGCCACGTTCAGAGACTGGTAGGAGCTCTTTGAGGAGAGGTTTTTCAGAGGAAGGTGAAGGTCTGTGCAGGAAAAAAACCCTACAATTAGAGCCTTTAATTTCTACTCTCCATTTCTGGATTTGAAGTGTGTCTTTCCCTTCTTTCCTGTGCCCCATCACAGGCCTGTCAGGAGAGCAGGGGGGTATGTCCTGGGCAGACAATGCTGCTGGGAGATCTTCACTGACTCAGTGTCTTCCACCAGTGAGTTCCCTGCCTCCCAGTCCAGCTGCTCCAGTGCCTGAGTGCAGAGAGATGAGTTCTGTCCCACTGAGCCTGGTGCCCAGAGCACTGGAGCTCTTAGAATCACAGACTGGTTTGGGTTGGAAGGGACCTTCAAGATCGCCTAGATCCAACCCCCTGCATGGGCAGGGACACCTCCCACCAGCCCAGGCTGCTCCAAGCCCCATCCAACCTGCCCTTCAACACTGCCAGGGATGGGGCAGCCACAGCTTCCCTGGGCAACCTGTTCCAGTGCCTTCCTGCCTTCATGGTGAAGAATTTCTTCCTGATGTCTAACCTAAAACTCCCCTCTTTCAGTTTAAAACCATTCCCCCTTGCCCTGTCTTCAGGAATGACAGATCATCAATCTGTGTTGCTCTTTTCTTTATCTAGATCTAACTGCTGCATAAGCCTGTCTCTTCTGGGTGCTTTTTGACACTGCTGCTTCTGAGCACTCAGCCACAGTGCTGTCCTGGGCTATGCAACCTCATTTGGTGCTGGTTTTCCAACAGCAGGAACTTCTTTTCCCACCTGTGCTTGTCCTTGATTCCTTTATTTATTTCTGCACTTACTTATTGAAGCCTCCACCCGAGCTTGTTCCCTTTCCTCTGAAACCATGAGGGTGACCTGCTACGAGCAAGCAGCCTGCTGGCTCAGCCTGAGGGAGGGGGGGTGTTAAAAGGCCGAGTCCATGTGGCTTTTTCTTCTCTCCCACCCCCTTGCTCAGATGATGGTGGTGACTCCCGGCGTGATCTCGCTGCAGGCTTGGACTCCAAGGAATACTGCCTGTCGGACCGGGACATTGTGGAGGTGGTGAGGACAGAATACGTTTATACCCGCCCACCCCCGTGGTCAGACACCCTCCCCACCATCCACGTCATCACACCCACCTACAGCAGGCCCGTCCAGAAGGCAGAGCTGACCCGCTTGGCCAACACCCTCCTGCACGTGCCCAACCTGCACTGGATCCTGGTGGAGGACGCGCAGCGACGCACCCCGCTCATCACCCGCCTGCTGCGCGACACCGGCCTCAACTACACCCACCTCAACGTGGAGACCCCCCGCAACTACAAGCTGCGGGGGGACATCAGGGACCCCCGCATCCCCCGGGGGACCATGCAGAGGAACCTGGCCCTCAGGTGGCTGAGAGAGACCTTTAACAAAAATAACAGCCAGCCCGGGATTGTTTACTTCGCCGATGACGATAACACCTACAGCCTGGAGCTCTTCGAGGAGGTAAGACCCTGCTGGGGGCTCCCAACGGTCTTGTCTGTACTGGAGGTCCCACTGTCCAGAAATTTGCTCTGGGGCTGGGCTCCTGCACTGCCTAATGGGTGTTTCCCAGGCTCAAAGGCATCCTGCGTGGAGGAACTCGAGCCCCAGCCTATGCTGGGCTGTGTGATCAGGTAGTTTTTGCTGCAGAGGAAGCTGGGGAGGAGCTGCCTTCCCCCTGGGGAGCCTGGTTAGGGTTGGGACCTTACCTGCTCTCCAACACACCTGTGTAGAAGCACGTGCCTAGCAAAAGAAACCTTGGCCATCCTTCTTCCATGCCCCACCCTGGAGGAGATTTCCAGCTGGTTCCTGACCTGATGTTACCCACCTTTCTTCTCCACAACCCCCACGTGTTGCACGTGGCTGTTAATTCGTGTTTGCTCTTGTTTGGGAGGTCCCTGGGTTTCCCTTCCTTCCTTCCTTGCTGTTGGCTCTTGTTTGCTCTCACCCCAGGTTAAGTCCTGTAGCTGTCAGGAGCTCAGCTCCTGCCCTGCACAGGTCCCCAGCCCAGGCAGCAGTGCCCTTTCAGGGTTACACCTGAATGGTGTCAGCACAGCCCTGGCTCTTGCAGAACATCTTGTTCAGAGATGCTTTGTGTGCCTGTCTCTGGGCTGCAAGCATTTGGGGAACAAGCATTTGTCAGTGCCTGTTTCTCCTCCCAGGAAAGTGGGGCCCTTCACACACTGCCTTGGCTTTCTCTCTGCCAGGAGACACCTGCATCTCCTCTCCAGAGCTCTTCCTCTTGCAGCATCAGGGCACGGATGGTCTTTCAGGTTGGTGTGAGCAGGCAGTGAGGCTGAGATCTCAGCCTGGAAGCTGGCAGCTCCAGGAGCTGTGGTGACAGGCTGAATTTCAGCATGTCCTCACAGGCTTGTTGGGCTTGAGCAGGGGAAGGTACATTCCATCCATGCCCCCTCTCCCTTCCCTGATGCTTTTCACTTTAGCTTGGACAGCCACAGGAACACACAAGCTTTTAAAGCTGAAAGCAAATTCTGAGTGTCTGGCTGAATATCTTCCTTCCACAGTCCCCTTTGAGATTGGCTGTGGCAGCACCTTGAGACACCACACGTTATTAAAGCAGAAAGGCTCCCTTTGTTCACTTTGCTTCTCCTCCCTGATCTGTAGCTGCAGTTAAGGTCATATGGAGCCAGTGGAATGTGCTGTGAACTGCAGGAGACACACACCGTGGTTCCCTGTGGACTGGGGCTGCCATTAGCATGTGTGTGATGCAGGAGGGCAAGTGCCAGGGCTCTTCTGGTCTCCTTTGCAGTAATTAGCAGTGATGAGATGAGCTCTGGGAGGTCCTTGATCAAAGAGGCTGGACTGAGAGGCTGAGGCTGCCAGCAAAGCAGGACAGGGCGCTGTGGGTGAGTGGGCAGAGTGGCATTCAGATCATCTGCTTTGGCCAGTGCAGGCATCTGGAGTGTCCCCAGGTGGCTCCTCTCTGCTTCCCTTGATTCTACAGGGAGCAGAGACATCCAGTGTTGTTCTGCTGGGTAGCAGGAGCAGCTGCAAAGCACCACCCTGCTCTGAAGAGCCTGCACTCAGCAGCTGTCCCTGAGGCTGGGAGCTGCAGTGCTTCGCTCTAAAGATGCTTTTAGCCTCTCTGTGGCTCACAGGCTGAGACTGCAGCTTAAACCCCTTAGATTTCAAATAAAGCACCTTTATTCCTAGATATGCCATTCCTGCATTTCCAGGTGGCCTTGGAGAAGGTTCTTCCCTCTGCTGTGTCATGATTTCCCCAGCTGTCCATGTGGCCGACTGATGCCCCACAACTCTAAAGACCCTTGGACCAAAAAAAACCCAACCTGCTCTTAAATCTCAATCAAGTTTATTATGGGCCACTTTGTTTTAGTGCTGAGCTCTTGCCTGGTTCCATGGCCACCCATTTCTAGTGCTCTTGTTAGTTGCCACTTTCCTTCTCCAGCTCTAAGATGTGCATCCTTATGCAGGTGAGTAGTGAGCTCTGCATCTTGCTCCAAGCCAGAGGTGCCTGGGAACCTAGCCCAGGGCCACAGAATCACAGAGGGGTGGGGGTTGGAAGGGAGATCATCTAGTCCAACCCCCCTGCTAGAGCAGGACCCCCTAGAGCAGGTCCCATAGGAATAAATCCAGGTGGGTTTGGAATATCTCCAGGGATAGAGACCCCACAACCTCCCTGGGCAGCCTGTCCCAGGGCTCCATTACCCTCAGAGTCAAGAAGTACTTTCTTATCTTTAGGTAAAACCTCCTGTGCACCAGTTTGTGCCCATTGTCCTATCACTGGGCACCACTGGGAAGATCATGGCCCCATCCTCTTCAACTCCAGGCTCTCAGCTCTAGTCCTTGTGCCAAAGCTCAGGTGCATTCACCTCCCACAGGGCAGTGGTTGTGCTGGGTGGGTGCTGGAAGCCTGGAGCAGCCCACCCTCCTGCTGCACCCACCTCAGCTTCCTGGCTACTCCTAGAGGACAGGGAAGCTCTACAGGGAGACCTGGATCAATTGGATCCTTGGGCTGATGTCAGTAGTCTGGGCTTCAACAAGGCCAAGTGCTGGGTCACTTGGGCCACAGCAACCCCAGGGAACACTCCAGGCTTGGGGAAGTGTGGCTGGAAAGGGTCTGGCAGGAAAGGACCTGGGGGTTCTAATTGTATGAGCCAGTTTGTGCCCAGGTGGCCAAGAAAGCCCATGGCTCCCTGGCTTGTCGTAGAAATCGTGTGACCAGCAGAAGCCCAGAGGGGATTGTCCCCCCGTGCTCAGCACTGGGGAGGCCACACCTGGAGTGTTGTGCCCAGTTTGGGGCACCTCCATTCCAGAGAGATCTCAAGGGGCTGGAGCCAGGACAGAGGAGGCAACGGAGCTGAGGAAGGGCCTGGAGAGTCAATCTGATGAAGAACCCTTGAAGGAGCTGGGCATGTTTAGTTTGAGACAGAGGAGGCTGAGGGGAGAGCTCATCAGTCTCTACAACCACCTGAGGGGTCATTGCAGAGAGGTTGGTGCTGGTCCCTTCTCACGGGGACAGAACAAGAGGGAAGGGCTTCCAGCAGCACCGGGGCAGGGTCAGACTGGATGTTGGGAAAAGCCTTTTCCCTGGAACAGGCTGCCCAGGGAGGAGGTGGAGCCGCCACCCCTGGCTGTGCTGAAGGGGGGTTTGGATGCGGTCGAGGGCAGAACTCTGTAGAGCAGGGCTGACGGTGGCACCGGGCGACCCCGAGGGTCCTCCCCACCCCGGAGGGCCCCGTGCCGAA